GGACTGGGTCCTGGTTTGGCAGAGGGAGACTTGAGCGCCCTGCAGGCCTTCTGAGCTCAGCTGAGGATGGCAGCAGGAGGTCCAGTCACCTCGGACCTCTCCTCAAGGCACGTGGCCCCACGCTCAGCACTGCAGCTGCCTGGCCCTGACACAGCTTCCTTGTCCAGGGACTGGCCTCCTCCCATCAGGGCTCTGACTCAGTGTTTACTCTCAATAGCACTGACACACCTGGTCCAGAGCTGGGCCTCTGTCCTCTGGGGACCAGCAGCACTAGGTGCCTTGTCTCCAGTGTGGGGGGGGGGTGGGACTGAGAGCACAGTTCTGTGGACACCAGGCCACAGCAAAAGGACGAGCCTTCTCTCCATTTGTCGGGAGACCTAAGGGGCCACTGGAGATGACTGTTAGCTTGAATACTTGCTCCTGGAATCTCTATAAGGTTTTAGAAAGATGCCAAGTGCTCGGGTGGTGGCAGAGAAAGCTGGAGATTCTGTACAAAGATGAGAGACCCTCAGAAACAAAGGAGAGAGAACAAAAAGAGGTACTGAGATTTTGTAGTAGATTCTGTAGTAGACATCAGTCTATCATCCATCCATCCTTCAGCCATTCATGCGCCCATCTATCATCTATCCACCCATCCATCCTTCCATCCATCCATCCATCACCTATTCATCTACCATCCATCCACCCACCCATCCATCCACCCATCCATCTATCATCCATCCATCCACCCATCCATCCATCAATCATCTGCTCATCTATCATTCATCCACTCACCCATCCATCCATTCATGCACCTATCATTCATCTGTCCATTCATCCATCCATCATCTGTCCATCTATCATTCATCCACCCACCCATCCATCCATTCATACACCTATCATTCATCTGTCCATTCATCCATTCATCATCCGTCCATCTATCATTCATCCACCCACCCATCTGTCCATCATCTCTCCATCCAACTACTCATCATCCATCCATTCATTCTTGCACCCATCTATCATCCAACCATCCACCCATCTGTCCATCCATCCATCCATTCATGTACCCATCTGTCAGTCATCTGTCCATCCATCTATCCATGGAAGGTGAGGAAGGGGGAGTCTGGATCCAGGAGGCCCTGTGGGGTGTCTCCATGTCACCATGCCCCATGCTCAAGGTCAATGGAAAACAATAGCAACCCCTCCCAGGAGGACAGCTCATGGGCCAGACCCTTCAGCAAGGAACCCTGAGGTCCCAGGTCAGAATCATAGCATTGAGCTGATTGCCGGGGGCAAAGGGGCATCGGAGCAGGTGGTGGGAGAGGCAATTACAGAGACAAGGGATGTGGTCAGCAGATGAGTTCCTCCTTATTGTGTTATGTGTGTGTTTACATACAAATATCTTTATTTCCTCCCCTCTTGTGTCCTTTATCATGTAACATACGATTCACTGACTTTTCATCATATTATTTAAGTATTAATTTTATATCATAACATCAGTTTGAGCAAGCTCTGGAGTTGGTGATGGACAGGAAAGCCTGGTGTGCATCAGTCCATGGGGTCACGAAGAGTCGGACACGACCGAGAGACTGAACTGAACTGAACATCAGAGTATATAAGTTGTGGGAGATCAAGGAGAAAAATGCCCAGGAAAGCCATGCTTCCATGAACAGAGGTGGACCTGAGGAGCAGTAGATGGATGGGGTAGGGACGAGGCGAGAGGGACGTAGGCCAGAGGTCTGACAGTGGGACTGTCTCCCTAGAAGCTGGAAACACAACAGCCCTGGAGAAGGTTGGGGGTACAGGAGTGATCCACAGAGGTGGCATTTAGAGTTTTGGAAGCAAGTGGAGTGTGTATTCACATTGAATTCCAGATTTATAGCCTCCAGGTGCAGGAAGCTTAGACAGGTTGGCTGCCTATAGTCTTTAGTCTCCTCCTTACAAAGGAGCCCAGTGTCTCAAAAAGAAATGTATTAATCAACATATTAATGTATTAATCACATGTACATTCATGGTCACTTGCTCAGTCGTGTCTGACTCTTTGCAACCCTATGGACTGTAGTGCCTCTGTCCAGGGGATTCTCCAGGCAAGAATACTGGAGTGGGTTGCTGTGCCTACCTCCAGGGGATCTTCCTGACCCAGGGATCGAACCTGTGTCTCTTATGTCTCCTGCATTGGCAGGTGGGTTCTTTACCACTAGCACCACTTGAGAAGCCCCATTAATCAACTCCAATATAGCATAAAAAGGTAAGCAAAATAAATGTTTGGTGGAATTCACCTGTGGAGAACAGAAAAGCAAATGCCTGGGGACTAGTTGACGGTGGTACCTGCTCTTGTAAGCTTGCAGGAGAAGCAGAGTCAGGCCCTGCCTGAGCATTGGAGATATGGAGGGACTCAGCCCTGCTGATGGCTGGCCCACTGGTCATGATTTCCAGAAACAATGCTGATGTCCAAGGCCTCTCACTGGAAGTGGACAGCCTTCCTGTGTGAAGATTGTTCAGATTGCTTCACGATTTCAAAGTGGTTTTTTCAATTTTAGATCCATGTAGAGAAAACTGTTTTCCCAGGTGGCTCATTGGTAAAGAACCTGCCCTCCAATACAGGAGACACAGAACAAATGGCTTCAAACCCTGCATTGGGAAGATCCCCTGGAGGAGGGCGTGGCAACCCAGTCCATTATTCTTACCTAGAGAATCCCATGGACAGAGGAGTCTGGTGGGGTGTAGTCCATGAGGTTGTAAAGAGTCGGACATGACTGAGAAGCTAACACTTTCATAGACATAACTGCATACCAACCTGAATGCCCCAAGGCTGTTTATAAAGGATCATCTTCAGAAAACTAAACATGCTTCTGGGGGTTGAGGGGCTCGGCAAACCTCGGTGTGAATTCTCATGGCATGGGGCATTCATCTCCATCCTCTCTAGGTTCTGTATCTCAGTCCCTTGGCTCAGACCTAACCCGAGTCTGTGCCCCTCCCCCCATCACAGCAGGACTTGTCCTGAGTAGGGGACATGCTATCCTGGGACCCCCACCAGCTGAGTCCCCTCCCTCTGCCCCAAGGGGAGTGGGTTCCCTGTGGTTTCACCTGAGAGGCCACGTGTCAGGGAGCAGGCACACATACACACAGGATTATCTGTCCTGTGGTTAATGATTTGCATGCTTGCTTAGAAGGTGAAAGACCACAGGCTGCAGACAGGGTTGACCTAGGTCCTTGGAGGAGGAGGTGGCTCTCTGTACCTGACAGGAAAGTGGCACGCCTACAGAGGGAAACTTCCCAACTTTCTTTCTTTTCTTTACTTGTTTTTTGACACATCTATTTTTTAAAAAGAAATTTATTGAGCTCTAGTTGATTTGCAATGTTGGGTAAGTTTCAGGTGCAAAGCAAAGTGAATATATCCACTCTTTTTAGATTCTATTCCCATATAGGCCATTACAGAGTATCGAGTAGAGCTCCCTGAGCTGTAGAGTAGGTTCTCATTAGTTATCTATTTCCTGACTCTTTTAAAACAAAGCACTGACCTTAGTACAACTTGTGTGAATGAGGGCGGACGCTTCCTTGAGCAGGCTGTAACAAAGAGGATCAGGACACATGAAACTAAACGACTCAGCGGACCCGACAGTTCTAAGAGCTGCTGCTGCTGCTAAATCGCTTCAGTTGTGTCCGACTCTGGGCGACCCCATAGACGGCAGCCCACCAGGCAACCCTGTCCCTCAGATTCTCCAGGCAAGAATACTGGAGTGGGTTGCCATTTCCTTCCTCAATTCATGAAAGTGAAAAGTGAAAGTGAAGTTGCTCAGTTGTGTCCGACTCCTAGTGATCCCATGGACTGCAGTCCACCAGGCTCCTCCATCCATGCGATTTTCCAGGCAAGAGTACTGGAGTGGGTTGCTATTGCCTTCTCTGAATTCTAAGAGCCTCTGTCTACAAAGAATAACATGGTGCTGATTCCTCCAGAATCAGGATGGTCACCTTGTCCTGGAGGTAGGTGCCCGTGGTGCTGGCTGTTCTCTTCTATTTCATTTCTCTTGGGCTAATTTGGGGCTTCTTTCCTCTCTCTCCAAGAAATCTACCTGGAATATATTAATAAAACCTCCTTGGCTTTCTGGCCTATATTTGCCCCAAGATCCTATGGTTTGGTCCCTGGACTTGAGACCATCTGTGTCTCAGTCTGAGCCTCAGACCCCGCTTTCCCCACCCCTCCAGGCCCTGAGCCTCGAGGCCTGGAGTCTCTGTGAGTGAGGCCCTCTCAGTCTCTCGCTCTGGAACTCAGGGGATAAGACCTGGTCCCTCTTGCATTCTCCAGGGCCCTCTCCACATCTCTTTGCATCTCTCTTGTGTTGAAGGTCTGGGCTGACCCTTTTCTCTCTTTCCTCCAGCCTTGACCCCGGGAAGTTCACCAGGTGCTATGCTCTAATGTTGGGATTAAGTCGTGCGTTCACTTTGCTCCAGCTCCTCACATGGCTGGGCCTCTGTGAACCACCAAGCGATTTAACTTTAAACTTCTTTCTACTCAGGGTTTGATTGTATTTTGAGTATCTTGGGACATGGGTTCTACAGACAGTGTGCAAAGCTCAGGATGAAAGGGAGGGAGTCATTGTTTTCGGCATCCTGATGCTGAGGCTCACATGTCTAAAGTCAGTGAGGAGGCCTCGCTGGGCCCTGAGACTCAGAGGGCTGTGCGGAAGGTCAGGGTGCTCCCAGCCATCTTCCTCTCGTAGTCCTTGTCGAAGTCCTCATTCTGAGCCACAGTGAAGTAGTTCTTCCAGTCCCCAGGCATTCCTGCAAGGAGGTGAAACCTCAGTGATTCCGGGGAGAGGGGTGGGTAAGGATGCACGCAGGGGCTGGTACAGAGCGGATCATGGGGTCTGCTCCTCGGACACTCTTGGGAGTGTCGCCAACAGTACAGGTGCGGGAGCCGGAAGCATGACCGGGAAACAGGAAGGGGCTGGGGTCCTGTCCAACCTCTGAGCACGTGGGCCTCCCTCACTCCCTCTCTCCATCCCTCCCTTGTGTACCTCGCCTCATGAAGGGGGAGATGGAGTGGTCCATGATGCTGGTGGGCAGCGTGGTGTAGTTGGCCATCGGGTTCTCTTTCATGACCTCAAAGGACGTGTGATGGATGATTTTGTCCAGAACTTCCTCCGACACCTCTTTCTCCAGGAACTTCAGGATCTTCCGAATTTCCCGCTTTGGATCCTGTATGTGGAACAGTCACAAAAAGCCAAGTAGTTAGGGATTTTCCATGAAGGCGTGATGTTCTGTTAGATGAACTGTGCTTGGGGAGGGACGGCTTAAGGGAGCAGCTCAATTACAGTCAATGTGTCTTCCTTGGGAGAATGACTGTGGATGGCGCTGGATGGTCCTGGGGAGGAAGGACTTAGACATGAGGGCTCTCCTAGCCCCAGGGAGGCTGACCGAGAAGGAGGGGGGAGAAACATGAGCATAGCCCTGCAACGCCTGTCTGGAAGCATGCTGCCTGCATGCACGCATGTAGGGGGAGCACGGGCTTCAGGGCAGGGAGCATGTCCCCTGGAGGAGGAGATGCAGAGGCATAGAAAGAGGGGAGTGACTCTAGGACCAGAGATGGCTCAGCAAGTTAAACACAAGGTCTGTCAGAGGCAGAATCAGGGGACCTCACACTGACCCAGAAACAAAAGCCCTTGTGGCCTGTTCTTTCTGATCACAGACATTCAGAGAAGGACCTTTGGCATCTGACCAGATTCTAGAGAACCTTTCAGCACAGGTCCATGGGTGGTTTTGTAATTCTAGGGCACTGATCCCTGGGTTCAAGAGAGACTGTGTGATGCCCTGGACACTCGATGAGTGGGACTACGTGGGACCAGTCCTGCCAGCGTCTGTGTGGACTAAACTTCAGTGTGTGGAGTGGGTTTGGGGTGTGGATGCCAGGAGCTTTACAAGTCAGCTTCTAAATCTGCCCGGGAATATCCTGAGACACAAAAAGAGCTGATTTGCATTTTGTAGGCAAAGAAACATGGTTTGTGAGTGGCAGGATTAATCAGATTGTAAAAGTGCGTGAGATTTCCTGAGTGGAGGATCATCTGAAAATTGTGAACAGAAGCAAAGTTGGAAGATTTTTAAAGAAAAGATATATGATATTTTGATTCCACTTGTTTGACTTAATATGAATAGAATGCTAGATTTCTAATTAAAAAATACAGATGCAATGAGCAACAAAGATTTACTATATAGCACAGGGAACTATAGTCAATATCTTGTCATAACCTATAATGGAAAATAATCTGAAAATAATATATGTGTATATGTATAACTGAATCACCTTGCTGTGCACTTGAAACATTGTCAGTCAACTATACTTCAATAAAATAAACACATTAAGGAAAAAATAAAGATTAGAGAAAGAAAAAAGAAAACGAGAGAGAAAAAATGAAGAACAAAAGTAGTTGCATTGTTTGAGGATAAAGCTGAGTTGGACAGGGCATCAGGAAGAGAGGCCTGGTGTGGGCAGTACGCGTGCAGGTGTGACTATAGTTTGATCCCTCAAGGACACGGCGGGAAGCAGCGGTGGTCGCATGGTCCTCACCTCCTTCATGTCCTCATAGAAGAGGTAGAGGACGCGATGCTGGTCCTTGGCGTGCCACCAGCCCTTCACGTGGTCGTACCAGGAGCCCCACAGCACTGATGGGAGGAAGAAAGGAGGGGGTGTCAGTATTAACTTGAAGCTTCTGAAATGAGCACTGGCATCTCTAATAAAAGAGGACATTTGAAAAACACAACTAGAATTCTTATTTGCAGAGACAGGGATTTTTTTTTTTTTTTTAGGGAGTTGATTAAAAGTACCCTGGATCCCGTGGCTTCTGTTCCCACCCTTGAATTTATTCCCCTATGAGAAAATGTCCCAAGGGCAGGAGGTAGGTCTGTGTTCCCCTTACATTGCTGCATGGGGCCAGACCAGTGTTTTGAGATAAATTCTGGTCACCAACATGCTGATTAAGGGAGCAAAGGCCCGTATAGTCCAAGCTATGGTTTTTCCAGTGGTCATGTACAGATGTGAGAGTTAGACCATAAAGAAGGCTGAGGGACGAAGAATTGATGCTTTCCAACTGTGGTGTTGGAGAAGACTCTTGAGAGTCCCTTGGACTGCAAAGGGATCAAACCTATCAATTCTAAAGGAAGTCAATTCTGAATATTTATTGCAAGGACTGATGCTGAACCTGAAGCTCCAATACTTTGGCCACACGATGCAAAGAGCTGACTCACTGGAAAAGACCCTGACTCTTGGATAGATTTAGGTCAGGAGGAGAAGACAGTGACAGAGGATAAGACGGTTGGATGGCATCACCAACTGAATGGACATGAATTTGAACAAACTCTGCGGGATGGTGAAGGACAGGGAAGCCTGGTGTGCTGCAGTTCATGGGATTGCAGAGTCGGACACGACTGAGCGACTGAACACCACCACAGGCTGACTGTGAAGAGAAGCTGTGAATTCATTCTGAAGAATCCCAGTGACCAGATGTTTGGGCCCCTTTACTGTCTGTGATGGAGAATGGGGGGAAGGGGGTGCACAGTGTCCTCCCCTAGCCCCCAAGCCACCCCCACCCTCCTCCCACTGCGAGGTTGACCCTGTGGTCAGTGTCACTGGATCCTCAGTCTTCTGGGCCCCACCCGGGGCCAGGGGTGTGTGCAAGGTGATTCTTTCCCTGCAACTCCCTGTGGCTGACTGTCTCCCTAGGAACTGCCTCAGCACCTGCCCATGCCCCTGGATCCTGCACCATCACCTGTGAGTTTGTTACCCTCTACCCACAGTGTTCTAAGTAGCATTTATTGTGACCTCTGGACAGTGACCCTGAACAGTAACCCTGTCTGGGTGACACCTGTGTCCTCCCAGAACCTCGAGCAGCCCAGTCACTCAGCAGAAGCCATGTCTCTCTGATATGTGGGCGATTGAAAACGGAGGTGTGGACCTCAATTTCCTTTCGCTCACCTTTTCCAGCTTTGAAGGTCTCAACATACTCCTCCCAGGAGCCAGGGTCTGGCACCATCTTATTCATTCTTGAGAAGTGGTAGTAGGATACCAGGCAGTCCTTGGCATTTCTGGCCACATAGATGATCTGAAATCAGCCAGGAAAGGGATGGATACAGAAAACAAGACAGGAAAGGTTACTGTTCAGGAAGAGCCCATGTTGTTTGAAGGACCTTAGACCTTTGACCTTAGCCCGTGCTGTTAGATGGACCCTGGGTTGGGAAGATTCCTTGGAAAAGGGAATGGCTACCCATTCCAATATTCTTGGGGCTTCCCTGGTGGCTCAGATGGTAAAGAATCTGCCTGAGATGTGGGAGACTCAGGTTCAGTCCCTGGGTCAGAAACAGCCTCTGGAGAAGGGAATGAATACCCACTCCAGTATTCTTGCCTGGAGACTCCCATGGACAGAGGAGCCTGGGGGATACAGTCCATAGAGTCGCAAAGAGCTGGACACAACTGAGCGACTAACACTTTCACTTTCCCCAACCTCAGGTCCTTAGACTGGTATCTCCTGTCAGATCAGTAGCATTGGATTAGAAATAAGGTGCACAAAAATGTAATCTGCTTGAATCATCCCCAAACCATCGTCCCCGCTCCCCACCCTGGTCCGTGGAAAAATTGTCTTCCATGGGATCGGTCCCTGGTTCCAGAAAGGCTGGGGACTGCTGTCTTGGACCATCCTGTCTGAGTGACTAGACCTATGTTTTCTGTGACCCTCTCCAGTTTGCCCGACACAGTTCTGATTACATCTGTGGTCTAAGCAGAGTCGGTGACAACACACCCTTTCTCTCAGGTGTCCTGCTCAGCATGACAAGTGCTGCAGTCACCCTCCCTCTGCTATTTCCAGGACTGGGGAGGCCACGAGGTGTTACTCAGGTGGGGAGAGGAAGGTCCTGTTGGCTGTACCTGAGCAGGGTGTCTACCCTAGTTGTAGGGTGGGGCTGCCTCTGCCTTCTGACCACCCAAGGAATTGCCTCCTCACAGTGACCATCATCCCTGATAAGATCACAGGACCCCAGTACCACTGGAGCTGCTGGTGACCTGTCCCCCCCTGGGAGAGGCAGAGCTGCTTCTGAGCTTGTCCCACCACCCTTCCTCCTACCCCGCCACCCAGGCTGCCCTGGGCTGTAAAGGCCTTTTTTTTGGGGAAGGTGTTTTGGAAAATTTTGTGACCAAGTCTGCCCTGTGAATTGCAGGACACAGGAAGTTATGTTTACAATTTTGATAGAGCCACAAATTGCTTGTTTTTTTTTTTCCTTCTGAGTTGAGTGAGTTCTCCATATACTTTGTATATTAACCCCTTGTCAGATATAGGATTTGCAAGTATTTCCTCCCATTAGGTTGCCTTTTTCTTATGTTGGTTGTTTCCTTCGTTGTGCAGAAGCTTTTTAGTTTGATGTAGTTTCACTTGTTTATTTTTGCTTTTGATGTCAAATCCAAGAAAATCATTGTTGAGACTGATATCAAAGAGTGTACTACCTGTATTCTTTTCTAGGGGTCTTGTGGTTCCAGGTCTTCCATTCAGATCTTTGATCCATCTTTAGTTAATTTTTGTGTGGTGTGAGAGAGTGATCCTGTTTCATTTCTTTGCATGTGGGGTCAACTGTCAGATGTAGAAGTAGAGACACGAAGTAGGCAGGGGCTCTGGGGGAGGAGTCCATGGATGGTTTCTCAAGCGTGTTCCCTGTGTTTTGCGTACTCAGCAGACCAGCACCCTGGGTGGGGGGTAGGGGGAGCTGTTTCCATCTGATCAAATTAGCACAGGTCTTTTGGCCTTGGCTCCTCCTGTGAGCCCAGCACTGCAGGGACCCTGCCCTTTGCCTCTTTCCTCCCACTGGACAGCCCTCCAGTGTCCACCAACGTTCTCAGAAAATCCAAAGGGATGCCCAGCAGCAAGGTCTTAGGATCAAGTAAACACATTTCTCAATGCTTATGTTGGTTATCACTTTTTTTTTTTTTTGCAAATTGAAGCTGAGTAATCAGAATGGGGGAAGCCCTGGCTGGATGGGGACCTGCTGAAATGCCTCTGGCCTGGAGTCAGATGTCCAACTGGGAGCGAAGGCCACATGCTCGCATGTTCTGAGTCTGCCATCTATCTGTGTGAGTCTCTGGCTGTTGATGTGACAAATTGCCCCAGGTGGAGAGCCTTAAAACAGCACGAGGTTGGTTCTCTTACAGTCTGGAGCTCGGGGCACTGGAATGGACTCCAGTTGGCCATGGGGCTGGTTCCAGGGCAGGGGACGAACTTCCCTGCAGTTCCTGGAACCTGAGGCCATCTGTGCGCCTCGGCCTGGACTCTGCCCTGAAATCGCCCCCATTTCTGCATCAGGTGTCACATCCTTCACGTTGTCTTTCCACCTTCTCGCCTCCTTCTCATCAGGATCCTTGTGACGATGCTCAGGGCTGTCCAGGTAACCAGAGGATCTTCGGTCTCAAGATGTTCAACTTAATCACACCTGCCAAGTGCACTCTACAGGTGAGGTACATTTGTGGGGTTTGGGAGGGGCTAGGATGCAGGTGTCTTTGGGGAACTCCATTTAGCTCACTGCCCCACTGTAACAGGAAAATCTCAGACTAAGCTTGCCCACACCTTCTCCTACTCAAACAATCCACAGCTCTCAGCAGATAAAAGAATGTGCTGTCTTGGAAATTTTGACATTTTAGAAGGCCTGGTTTCAAAAAGAAGCTGTTAATCTGATGACAAAACACATGCTAGGGGGTCTTCTGACTTTGAGTCTAAAAACATCATTTGGAAATAATATTAGTTCTAGAGCAGCAAAATTATGTTAAGTGTCTGTGGGGATAAATCAAGATATTTTCAAAGTCATGGTGACCTGGGTGATGGCATTTGATATATGGAAACCTATGACACCTCTGATGGGAGATGGATGAGATGAGGTGATGGAGTGCCATGGAAACCAGAGCAGAGAAACTCAAAAGCAGCCACTCACACTGCATCTCCGAGCTCTGCACTAAGTAGGGAGTGTCTTGGCTAAACAGCCTTGACTGTGTAGCTCCCCTGGAAAGGGCTCAGCCCAGAGCATGGAAGGGTCTGTGGTTGGGTCAGCAAAGTAGCCTTCCCACAGGAAGATGGACAGTCCAGCCGAGGCAAGCATTTAACTCTGCAAATGTTTGTTGCACTTTTCTTTGCAAACCTCTAAGCTGATATTTGGGGTATATTCTGTATTTCATTGACTTCTAGACTCACTGATGAAGCTGACATCAAAAACAAAACAAAACACTAGTACATTCAGTGTGCACTGCATTTCTGGGGTCTGAATTTGCTAAAACAAAAATTTAAAAATAGAGGACAGAGTCATGGCTGTTGCTGGGAGCTTATCCATGATGGGGATGATTTCCAGACATCATATGTGGTCCTGGGCCCCCCACCCTCCGGGGTCTCCCTACCCCCTCACAGGTTTTCCCTAAATAAACCCCCTTCACACCTTACTCAGCCCTGGCTTGGCTCCTAGAGGATTCACACTGATATGACTGCCTCCCCAGGAAGCAGGCGCCCTGCCTGATCTCTCACTGTCTGAACGTGACTCAGCTGACAGTTGATGAGGATAGCACTGCCTGGAGTCTAGTCTACTGGTACCCAGAAGGAATATTCTGGGAGAAAGACAGATCCAGGGTAGAGTGGTGGGCACCAGGAGGGGTCTCAGGTTACTGCCCATCTGGAACCTGCACTGGGCACCTATCTTTTGAGGTCCATGGCTGTTTCCTCTTACATGGAGACAGTCTGTGAGTATTCGGATCAAGCCTGGCTGTCCTTACCTTTGTGTTCTCTTTCCAGAAGGAAGGTGGGATCATCTGAACAGGCAGGTGCGTCTTCAGAGTCCTCGGAGAAGGCATCATGTTGGCGAGATCCAGACCTGCAACAAGGCTGCTGCTCAACTAACACTTCTCATCCACATCTCTGTTGTTTTGCCAGCGTCTGGAGTCATACTCACCACGTGCTCGGTACCCCCTACCTGACTCCACATTGCAAATTACATCCTAGGCTGGTGGCCTGCCCAGTGTCACCAAGTTATATGTCTTCATATAAAGCTACAGTCATCAAACAGTGTGGTATTGGCACAAGGAGGGACACGTAATGGAACAAAACAGAACAGAAAATTCAGAATGCACCCATATTGTGTGTGTGTTAGTTGTTCAGTTGTCTCATTCTTTTGCAACTCGTGCCAGGCTTCTCTGTCCATGAAATTCTCCAGGCAAGAATACTGGAGTGGGTTGTCATTCCCTTCTCCAGCAGATTTTCCCATTCCCAACCCAGAGATTGACACTGGGTCTCCTGTATTGCAGGTGGATTCTTTACCACTTGAGCCACCAGGGAAGCCCATACGTAGAAGGTAAAATTCAATATTTGTGAAGGGGCCATGGCAATTTGATGTGAGAAAAGATAATTTTTTGGCCTGATGGTGCTGGAATGACTGGCTCAATCAATCATGGGTTTTCAACAGGCAGTATTTTTAGAAATTTTTAGGGATGATTAGAGTTTGAGAGGTTTAATAACATGCTGAAGGTTGTCCAGACAAGAATCCAAACCAGAACTGTTTGAGTCCAAAGTCTCTTTTGACCATCAGGTTGGGTCCTACTGCAAAGCTACTCTTTGCTGCTATTTACTCTGTAAAAACACTCCCTTACAGAGTTGTGGATGCAGCAAGGGAAGGAGAGGATGGGATGAAGTGAGAGAGTAGCATTGACATGTATGCACGACCATGTGTACAGCAGATAGCTAGTGGGAAGCTGCTTAGAGCACAGGGAACTCAGCTCCAGGCTCCATGATGACCTAGAGGGGTGGGATGCAGGGCTGGGAGGGAGGTTCAAGAAGGAGGGGACATACGTGTACATATAGCTGATTCAGGCTGATGTATGGCAGAAACCAACACAATATTGTAAAGCAATTATGCTCCAATTAGAAACAAATCTAAAAAAACATACCCTTCATTCCTAATTGGTTGCCAGCTCTTTAAGGGTGCTCTCTCCTACATTTCTTAGTATCTTTGGTGTGAAGTTCATCATTTGTTGATATTAATAACAGAGGGACTATGTATAATTTAACTTGGATCCCTGGCAGACAGGTGAGAGATGAAAAACAGCAGAAGCCAGTCCTCCTGGAGCGGGCAGACCTGACCCAGGGGTGAGGTCCCTGGTCACTGGAAGCCAGCCATCCTCAACCCTGCCTCCTCTGTGTGGAATGGTCCTGTGTGCTCTTGAGTCCTTGAGAAATCGCAGGAGACGTGCTGTCTGAAGCTGCCCATTCCCGTATTTCAACAGAGGGACTGAGGGGTCTTTTCTCACAGCTGACAGAGGTGTGTTGACCTGAGCCATCCTCAGACTCCTTCCCAGCAGAGGGCACAGCCCCATAGGCCCAGGCGGCACATACCTGAGCTGAGGGGCGGGGGGAGCGCCCACTCGATGAAAGGGTGCCGGTCAAAAGTGTTGGCCCGCTGACACTTCTGCAGATCCCCGTCATTCTGGATCATGTCCACGATCTCCTGGGTCCAGGTGGTACCTGGAGGAGTTATTTACCCTCAGTTCTGCCTGCTCTCTAGGCAACTCCATTCTACATCAGTTATTCCCACAGTTAGGAAAACCTACCTCTGCTTACGTTGAGCACCTGCATGACTCCCAGGGTGGATGGGCCTCTGCTCTGAGCCCCTGTCCCCACAGCCGAGGTCTTCCCCACACCTGCCTTCTCGTGAGACTGAGAGTTCCACTGAGTAGGGGCTGGGCTTTTGACCCTCTGTCCCTCAAACCTCATACCTGCCATGGTGTTTTGAACCTAATACGTGTAGCTTGAGAGAAAGCATACTGACTCAAAGGAATGTCAGGAGATACAAAGTTGAGGCAAATACTATCTGTGCCCCAACAAGCTTCCAGTCTTGTTGGAGGAGATACAATATGCTGAAGACTGCTTCTAGCCTAGTTAATATCCATTCTCCCCATCTTTCTCAAGTTAATAGATCCTCAATTTTTACCAGGGCATATAGCTAAAGGTTGGGCTGCCCAGATGGTGATAGTGGTAAAGAAACCACCTTCCAATGCAGGAGACTCAAGAGACAGGTTTGATCCCTGGGTCAGGAAGGTCCCCTGGAGGTTGTCATGGCATCCTACCCCAGTATTCTTGCCTGGAGACTCCCATGGACAGAGGAGCTGGCAGGCTACAGTCCATGGGGTCACAAAGAGTTGGACATGACTGAAACCACTTAGTGTGCATGCAAGCACATAGCTAAAGGCTATATAAAAAGATTATTTTCTCAATCTTGCTGCTAAAGGTGGCCCTGCCATTGTATTTTGGGAAGCTGTCTTTAAAGGGCAGGAACATGACCTCATTCCCCTCTTCCTGCCTCCTTGTTGCTGTTTGGAACATGCATGTGATGGCTGGAGCTCTAGAAGTCATATTGAGTTTGTGAAACCAAAAGCTAAGCCTACAGATGGTGGGGCAGAAAGTTCAAAGACCTAGGGTTTCTAAGGATCAGTGCAGCCACCATTTCAGGCCTGGACTTTTAACCTCCAGAGTGCTTTTACCTTTGAGTTTCCTGATACATATAGCCACACTGAATCCTAACTGATGCAGATGTGTGGGTGGGCAAAGAGCTAGCCCATGTGCCCTACCCACCACATGCCCATTTTCCTTTTCATACCAAAGGCATTCATTGCCCCTGACTCTTAGCTAGGCCTGGCTCTCATTGATATGTAAGACAATACGTAGATAACTGAGAGGTCTCCAGTAAGAGCCGTGAAGACTCTACAAAGGGCCTTGGGAGTTCATGGGAGGAGGGGCGCCCTCTGTGGATGGGTAGGTGGACTCATCTGAGCTGGTCTTCTGGAGAGGAACAGTCAGAGGGGGAGGAGAGTGTCCACTTGTGTTAATAAGCCAGAGCATCGGAGGGAGGGAACCTCGGAGCTAGGGTTAAGGTGGGCATAGTCTCATGCTAGAAAGCTTAAGCAGGACTCACGGGGGTGGGGGATGGGGTGTGGGTATAGTGGGGATTGAGAGGTCTTGGGGGAGGTGGGGGAACACAGCTATAGAGAGAGTTCTGGGAGAGTCTGGGGGTTGACTGCATAATTTCCAAGTGAAGGGAGAGCAAATTTCTGCTCTGAGATGCAGTGCCAATTTGAATTCGGATCTGAGCAAGAGACATGCAAGTCAGACAAAGATGACTTTTGAGAAACTGAGAGCTTCCAACAGGAGTAAGCAGGAGCAGCCCCCCCTCCCCATCTACTTTTCCCAGCAGGCCTGGCTGGCAGTGCTGTGTGGTAGGAGCAGTGTGAGGCTAGGGAAGGCGTCCTGACCCACAGGGGAGAGACAAGCACGGTGACATGGCCAGTTAGGAACTATGGGGCAGGGGCACCCCCTGTGACCTTCCTGGTTCTGAGCATCTCGGACTCCTCCTGCAGCATCCACTAGCCACCGAGAAACCTTCCCAGGCTGGTTACAGCTGAAAAATTCTCTACCTTCCTTGGCCCTACCGCTTGAATGATACATACATAACTGAGGGGCTTCCATCTCACCCACCATCCAGCCCTCTGGGTTCTGAGGTCTCTGCTCCTCCAGCTGCAGAGCCTGGCCTCTCTGCTTCTTCCCTTCTGGGTCTCCCTACAAGCTTCTCTCCCTTTTGTAGGATTCTGTAAGTGTCATTCCACCCCACCCCCTACTTCTTCCCTCCGTACTCATGCAGGTTTGGACTAACATCACTTGCGCTTTTCCCACTGGGGCAAAGCGCTCAGTTCCAGCTCCATCTCCACGTGCAGGAGAGCCTGGGGAGGAGGACAGGCTTCCCCTAGGAGCTTCCTGCTGTTCCTCAGACTCTGAGCTTTCATGTGATTCTGTGGGAGGCCGGCCTTCTCTTCCTTTATCAGGAACTGAAATAAAAAGGAGGCTCATGGACTCTGGGGGTTTGGAGGGCATCAATAAGAGTGGTTTTCATTTTTCCAGGAACTGTGTGCTAAGTCACTTTAGTTGTGTCCAACTCTGCAACCCTTGGATTGTAGGCCCCCAGGCTCTTCTGTCCATGGGATTCTCCAGGCAAGAATACTGGAGTGGGTTGCCCTGCCCTCCTTCAGGGAATCTTCCTGACCCAGGAAGATTCCACATCTCCTTTCCTGAACCCACATCTCCTTTGTCGCCTGAATTGGCAGGCGGGTTCTTTACCACTTGTGCCACCTGGGAAGCCAGGGTCTGGCCCTGGTGAAAACCTACAATTTTAAAATCTGAGGAACCCCCAGGCATCCCGGCTCTGCTGAAGCCCCCAACCTCAACTTTCTTCAACCTACCTGCCTTTGCGTAGGTTGCAATGAGAAGGTCATCAGGCTTGGCTTGAAAATTCCAGATTTTGTTCCAGTTATCGCTTATCATCTTGGTCATGAGGATTCCATTAACTTCCTTGGTTTCCGGTTGCAGGTATTTCTCCTCCAGGTGGAGATTTTTCATCTCCTCCGAAGACATCTTTGTCGGTGAAACTATTTCACTGGTACATAAAAGAAAGGGTTGGTTGTGTCATTTCTAAAGCTTTGAATAGTCATTCCTTTTTATAATTTAAGATTCTCTGAGAAACTCAGGAGAGATGTGTTGGAAATTCATTATTGTTTAATGTTAACCTAAGAAGTGAGAGAAGTGAAAACTGTGGGACCTTGAGCATTTTAAAAAACTTCATTATTTAAAATGTATAAATTGGAAAGAACAGAATGTTTTATTTAAAGCTGGTTCTTCATATTTTCCCCCAAATATAAAACAAACAATCTTCTTCATTAGGAAGAAATTGGGAAATTTTAAAAAATAATTTTCAAAAGATGGTTGCAGGCAACAGACTATCAAACAGTATTGTGTGATTCTGTTTCCACACCTGCTTTCTGTTACTCTGTGCCCCATGACCTTGGGATGTCTATACATGAAAAATCTGACTTGCTAAAGAACAATGTCAATTTTTTGAGTTCAAATGGATTCCTAATTTTTTGAATAGAAGCTATTTTTTTTAATGACAGCATGCATTAGCATATTTTGTTGTTTTGTGTTTCTGCCAATATTTTTATCTTGCTCATTTTTTCATTTACACCCAGCTGGATTTGGTGGACTAAAGGCATAGCCTGTATCGAATATTCTGTCTTAAAATACAATGATTGTTAGAGAGCAAAAGACAAGCCACAGACTTAGGGAGAATATTTGCAGAAGGCATATCTGATAAAGTTCTGTTATCCAAACTATGCAGGGAACTCCTAAAGCACAACAGAAAGAAAACAAACAACAGGATCAAAAAGTGGGTAAAAGATCTGAACCACACCCCACCAAAGATACAGATGACACATGAGCATGTGTTGAAAGCTTGTGTCCATACAGAACCCGAACACAGACATCCATGCCACTCTATTCACAAGTGCTCAAACCTGGAATCCAAGCCCTTATAGGGAATGGATAAATAAGCCATGGTGCATCCACACAATGGATTGTTACTCAGCACCAAAAAGAAATGAGCTGTCAAGCCATGAAAGGACATGGAGGAAGCTTCAGTGAATATGCCAAGCAAAACAAGCCAGTCTGAGAAGTGTTAGTCACTCAGTCGTGTCTGACTCTTTGTGACCCCATAGTCTGTAGCCTGTCAGTCTCCTCTGTCTGTGGGTGTCTGTGGGATTTTCCAGGCAAGAATACTGGAATAGGTTGCCATTCCCTTCTTCAGGGGATCTTCCTGACCCTGGGATTGAACCCACATCTCTTGGACTGGCAGGCAGGTTCTTTATCACTGAGCCACTTGGGGAGCCAGTATGTATGGGTATACTGTCCCCTTACTGATGGATCCACACGGCTCTTAGATAGTGTTGCCAGGTATACATTTTGCTCTCCTTTTATTGTCAACCTAATTATCCCATTGTTTTCTGGCCTCTATCTGTTATTGGGAATTTTGCTCTCAGTTCTTTAAGAAGAATGTCTTTCTTCTCTAGTTTTAAAAACAGTATTTTTTCTTTGTTGTTTATGGATTTATAGGATGATATCTAGGCTGGTTAAGTTTTTATTTATCTTTCTTGGAACGTGCACTTTTGGTTTCAGGATCACAAGCGTCATAGATTTGGAACATTCTTAGCCCTTCTTCCTTTTCTCTCTGTTCTTTCCTTGGAACTCCAGCCAGCTCTGTGTCTGACCTTCAGTTTCTGTCCTCAAATCTCCTAGCCTTTCCTCGCTCTGTCTCTGGCTACAGTCAATGCCATTCTTTTCAGCCTGCCTCTATTGTATGAATTGTATTGAATTGTTCTTAGTTTCAATTATTATCATTACATTTTACTCATAGATATTTTGTCTGTTTCTTATTTACCATGGGTTATGACTTTATCCTTACACATCTTAGTGGACCTATTATATGTTGCTGGTGTTTCTGACTTCAGAACTTTGCAGGTGGGGCTCAGCCGGCTTTGCTCTGTTTGCCCTTCTCCCAGGGTCCCTGTAGTTTCTCGTCCTGCACTCATGACCAACAGCCCTTTACATGTGGGAGCTCTTTGCTCATTCAGATAGTGGGCTCCTGCCCGGCTCTGTGACCGCTTTTGAAGAGTCTCAGCTGATGTCTATGAAGAATGCCTGCTAACAAACAGGGGAGGAGTGATAGAAAAAAAACCACCGGAGGATGCTGACCACCACTGGATAAACTAGGGGCAGAAACAGGCTATTCACAGACTCAGAGTCTCAGTCCAGAGGTTAGAGATGCACAATGTGCCTTCGTGATGGAGCGATGTGCAGGCGACACCTGGACTGAGAGCTGTCACCGAGCACACGGGGGGTCATCCTGTCCCCAGACCACACGTGACCACACATTTAAAGGGCTGCTGCTTGTCGTCTGCATAGAACTTTCTGTTTCTATTGGGGGGTTTTCAAGTAATCTGGTTTTGTCAGTAGAACTGGAAGTTCCTTAAGCTATCATTTTTGGCTTAAAGTAAAACTTCTTTATCCTATAAATTGGCAGAAAGGACCTCCCTGGATATGTTTTAAACTTCTTCTACTGAGTCAAAAGAGAAAAACATTAACCTAAAAAACACATTCTTTCTTAAATTAAAAGATAATCTACACATATTCAGTGTAGTAAAAAGCAATTGCAGTGGCATACAGAAATAGTGGAACTTGAGCAAATCTTGCTCTGGAAATCTAGAAATCCAGAAACAAACTAGTTTGAGCTTCTATGGCAGGAGCCCCGTCCCGTTCACCTGGGGCCTCCCGTGCTGGTCTGAGGACTCACATGATGGGAGTCTGACTTGGTTACGGCTGTTAAACCACTGCTTCAGCCTCCTCCTCTCCTGAGGCCTTGGTCAATCTGCCCCCGTGGGCTGAGGCTTGGGGGCCCTGGGACACCCTCCTGCTGGCCATCCTCGCCAACCCCCCACAAAGGGCTCTCCTAACCTTCTGTGTCTGCGACTGCCCAGCCCTTTCTTGGCCTGGGGTGCAGGGCCCCTGCCTGCAACCACAAGTAAAGCCAAGAAGGCCTCTGGTCACCCGGCTCTGTGGACTGCTCGCCTGGGCCCTGGATCTGCTGTCAATTTGTCAGTCCGTTCTTTTCAAAATACTTCCAGCGAACAGCAGGGACCTGAGTTTGGAGTAAGACCCTGGGCAAAGAGCCCGGCCCAACTTCCTGGGGGATCTGGGCCCACACTGGCAACACCTCTGTGTTCCCTGGGGACTTGCTTAGATGGGTGGAGGTGGTGGCCTGGCCCGCTGCAGGGAGGGATAGACCTGGAGTTTGCTCAGGGGATCCCAGGTGAACCCCTTGGAAGGCCGCCTGGGATCCAGGGACAGAGGCTTTGGGAAAGTCTGGGATGAGGGGTGGAAACTAATTTTCTCCCTCCTATCTTTGAGAAAAATGTTATTTCTGCATTAGCAGGAGCAAGCGGCCAGTGCATCCCCCTCCTGGCCGCTTGCTCTGTCCTCCCCCACGGGGGCTGAGCTGACGGAAGGACCCCAGGCAGGTGGCTCACCAACCTTGATCTCTACTCCTGTGTGCTGGCCCGGGGGGCTCCCTACAAGGTGCTTCTTCCACCTGCGTCCTGAAGCCTGGACCTGTGCCTGCGGAGGAGGCTGGGGAGCAGCTCCTCTCTGGTCCTGACCCTTGGTTCCCTTGAAATAGGACCTGCTTAAGGTGGGTGGGGATTGGGCTGTGCTCACGGTTCAGGCAGAGGGGAGGGAGGTGAGGGAAGTGGCCAGTGGGCACCCTGGCCCTCGGTTCCACTGTTCCAGCCCATGGCTGCCTATTTCCTGGTCCCGGCAAGCCATTTTGGAATTATAAGGACAAGGAACAGAGGCTCTGTGGCAGCTGCAGTGGCTTCTCCTGTTCCTGGAGCGACCTCAGTATCTGCCCGGACACCTTCCCAATGCCCCCAGATGAATCCCAGGAATTCTTTCAACCTTTTTACAGAGCATCACCCCCCACTGAAAAGCGTTGGCTAAAAGATAGAGCCTGGTGGCCATTCCCTGTCTAGAGTGTACCTAGAATTCCGATGGGATAAAAGTGAAAAGGTAAAGAAAGCAATGGGATTTATTTTGTTTGCTTAGGATTCCATCTACTTACTATTGTTAACAAAGCCTTTTTGTTTCCTTTTGCGAGTTTAATTGAACTACCTGGGTGCTTATACAAAACTGCTGTATAAAATTCTCTTGCAGGAACTTCCCTGGTGGTCCAGCGTCTAAGACTGCACACCCAAGGCAGGGGGCCTCTGGTTCAATCCCTGGTCAGGGTACGAGATCCCGCATTCCACAATTAAGACCTGGCACAGCCAAATAAATAAATAAATATCTAAAAAGTGTCCTTGCAGTCAGACTGCCTGCACCCTTGCACATTTGCTAAAATCTGTTTGTTTTATTTATTTTTAAGTGCTTTACTTGTATCACTGTGATTTTAAAATCTTCCTCTCAGTCCTGCCAGATATCTGCCATCATTACCTGTTTTACAGGGAAGAAATAAGAATCCTGGAGAGTAACCTACCAGAGCCCAGAATAACTCAGGGGTTTGAATCCAGCTGGTCAAGGTTCAAAACCTCATAGCCACTACTCTGTTCTTCCCACAATGAGGTGAAGGCAGGTAAGTCCCAAGATGCTTGCTTTGAATATACAGAATCAGATCTGTTAGATTTACTGGATCCTCCATATTTCATAGCAATGATTTTAGATTATGAAATTAGATTACATTATGAACTGGAGGAACCAGAGATCAAATGGCCATTGGATCATTGAAAAAGCAAGAGAGTTCCAGAAAAACACCTATTTCTGCTTTATTGACTATGCCAAAGCCTTTGACTGTGTGGATCACAATAAACTGTGGAAAATTCTGAAAGAGATGGGACTACCAGACCACCTGACCTGCCTCTTGAGAAACCTGTATGCAGGTCAGGAAGCAACAGTTAGAACTGAACATGGAACAACAGTACTGGTTCCAAATAGGAAAAGGAGTACGTCAAGGCTGTATATTGTCACCCTACTTA